TGGAAATTGAGAAGAGGGAGGCTGAAGAGAAAGACAGAAGAGCTGGACTCTGAAGCGAGCGTCGCTCATCTTGACGCGGCTACAGCCACGAAGTTTGGTCGATCTGAACGGACGGCGGAGTGGTACCCTCTGCTCTGCCCTCGTGTCGCATCGCACACTCGCATTCTGTGACTGTATGCCGCATATATGCATTCATGCCGCCCCCCTCTCATCCCCCACCTCCTTTTCAAAGTTTCTTGCCGACATAGGCTTGATCCAGATGCATTGCCTACTACCCACGTGAGCTCTTGGTCTCGCCATGCTCCTTCTGTTCTTTCACAAAGTTCATCGCTTGCTGTAGATAATGCACGCATTTTGTAGACCTATCGCTCATCTCGCTGTGGTGATGAGGAGCTGCTCAGACTTACCAGCGCTACGGTATGCGAATCGCGATAGATCCCTGGAATCGGTGGCATCATTCTCCATTCGTCATGCTCCCTCCCCTCCACCTGCGTGCCATGCAGCTGCGAAGTCAAAGCCGGCTATTTGCTTTAGTGTCTTCCCGGCCCGGCACGCATGTTGACCATACGTGCGCGCCTTTACCCATCAGACTGGTCGGAAACGTGAATGCCGCACCAGCGCTAGAGGCGACACGAATCTGCACACGCGTACCTACAGTCACCACTATCAACCCTCGTGTCCGTCTCTCTCTCTCTCTTCATCCATCGCTGATCCCATCAGTTCGCACCGCTTCGACCTCGCTTTGATCTTGGCATTTCTCCAAACAGAGCATGCCATTCTGTATGCCGCCATGACCACCTCCGTCGCAAGTTCATCGACCATCAAGCGTCTTCTCAAAGAGTACTCTACCATTCGTTCGGAACAAGCCAAACTCGAAGCGAGCGGATCGGAATGGCAAGGAGAACAGGGGATTGGGAAGAATTGCTGTCTGTTGGAATTGAGACCTTGGGATTCGGAAGAGGAAGATCTGTTCGAATGGACCGCTACCATTTTGGGACCCGAGGGTGGATGTTACGAAGGTGAGTGAGGAGCATCGGATATGAGCACAGCCTGCTCGAAGTGTGTGTGGAGAAAGGCAGAAAGAGAAAAAAGAGGTTGCTGATTGAATGTTTCGGCATTTTTGACTTTCTCACTGCGCGTTGCTTGGTCTCACTAGGAGGCCTCTTTAGGCTCTCTATCGTCATCCCACCTGCTTATCCCACTCGACCACCCAGCATGTCCTTCAAGACCAAAATTTGGCATCCCAACGTTCACTGGAAGGTGCGTACATTGCCGTCTCAGCAGCATGAAATCGAAAGCATTTGCATTTGCACGAGCCGAGGCTCAGAGCTCCGAACTCCCGCACGGAAAAGGGAGAGGTTTTGGACCCTGACTGACAAGCCCTCTCTGCCTCTCCTGCGTCTCTTTCTGGCACTTGCTTACCTATCACAGACAGGAGAGATCTGTTTGGATGTGCTCTCATCTCAATGGACGCCAGCTTGGACGCTCACGTCGGCCTGCACAGCCGTCATAGCTCTGCTAGACGCACCAGAGGCCGATTCCCCTCTCAATGTGGATGCGGGTAAGTTGTCTCTTGTCTTCCTCTCATCTCTTGTGCTGCCGAGCGCATGCTTCGCGTGGCGCATTGGCCAGGCTGCAAAAAGTCTCCATCTTGCACCTTGACCAAACTTTCCCAAAGCTGATCTCACAATCCGCTTCCGCATTCCTTGCGTGCCCTCCATGTGCAGCGACTGTGCTGCGCACCGGAGATCGCAGCGCCTACGTCTCTGCGGCGCGCATGTACACCCTCTTGCACGCCTATGACACCTAAATGTCCAAAACGATCAATCTGCGACGGGGGTTCGGGAGCATCAGAGCGCTCACCCCAGCTTGGTGATGATGCTGACGTGGGCATCCCGCGCCTGGAGAATATCGGCTTAGAGCAGCGCACCTGCTCCCAGTGCATTGCCATGGAGCGGTTGCGTGCGTGTATGAGAGGACCGCAAAGTACCGTCGCAGGTGCAAGATATTAGCGCAAAAAAACCTTCCCAGACGGCAAGACGCAGTTTGAAAGAAGATCGTCAGGCGTTGCATTACAGGCAGGTGGTGCGTCTTCCCAAGTCAAAGTAAAAGATGAGGAAAAGGTGGCAAGGAACAGAAAGAAAAGGGAAAACTTGCGAACAAGTGCAATCCGAAAGGAGAGAGAGAATGCAGCGCGAGATCGAACCGTGAGAGACAGGAATCGTGCTTTGGGTTATTAGAGCGACTAAACCATGTGGCAGCTGGTGCGGGCACTCCGGGGCATGGGTCGACTGCAACCGATACTTAGTCGGTATCGACCAGTCTAGCTTCTTGAGGATTTTGGCCCTTCGAAATGGCCCGCTCGTCCGGGTCCACAGCCTCGTCCGGCTTGGCAGGGAACTTCCTGCCCGCCTCCTTCTCCTCTGGATACATCGGTCTTGTAGATTCGAGATCCTCCAGAATGTCCCAGAAACACCACTCTACCGCATCGCAAGCCCAAAAGTGGTCGCAATGTTCAGCTTCTTCCTGCCTCTTTGCTCTGATAAGCTTGACATCCTTCTCTACCGTCTCTAGGCGTTCCAGCAAGGGGTCTGTCAAGACCAAAAAGTCCATTCCTCCCGAGTATATGGCAAGAGGAGGGAATCGCTTGTCGTACCACTTTCCAGACGTAGGATCCAGGGTGCAACCTCTTGACGCGAACCCGCCTTTGCCTGCCCACCAGTA